CAGATCCAGGCCCCTCCAAAACAAGGCAACACAGAGACACCTCTCCAAAACAAAGCAAATGTCCGGAAGCCTCTCCCAAAACAACACAAACAAGAGAACCCCCTCCAAATAAAGCAACAACAAAATTAAACCCTCTAAACAGTGATACAAAAGAACACCCTTCAAAACAAAGCTAAATTGAGAAACCCTCCAAAACACCATGCAAACAAGAGGCGCCCCTCCAAAACAATGCAAAACAAAAGCAACCCCTCCGTGACAAAGCAAATAAAAGAAACCTCTCCAATGCAAAAAAAGGAAACCAACCTCCGGAATAAAGGAAGACAAACGAGAAACCCCCCCTCCAGAGCAAAGCAAAAACGAGAAACCCCTCCAACGCAAGCAAAAAGGACAAACCCGCCCAAACAAGGACAAAAAGAGACACCCAAAACCAAACAAGACAGAGACATCTGCCCCCTCCAGAACAAAGCGAACAGGAGAAACCCGCCCACACAATGAGAAAAAAAAAGCGAAACCCATTCAAGACCAAGCAACAAAGAGACATCTGCCCCCTCCAGAGCAAAGCAAAAAGCGCAACCCCTTCAACAAGAGCAACCCCTACAACAAGAAAACTCACAACCGCCACGTGACCCACACGTCCTCTCGGATCGATCCGTTTCCGTCAGGCCTCAGATGGCGTGGCCGGCGCCGGCGTGGTGGTGGAGGCCGGCGTGGGAGGCGCCTGGAAGGCGTGGAGGCGTCTGTCCGGAGCCTAAAAATCGAAGCCATCTGGGCGACAGGCGCCACTTCCATTTGCTGAAGTCCATTTCCTGGAGCAGAAACCGAACAATTCCTGAAGCAAACTCCAAAAAGAAAGAAGTTCCATTTGAGACATTTGGGAGGCTTCACCCGGAAACAAAATTACCCTTTGGGAGACAAACACTTCCATTTGCCTAAGTTCATTTGAGTCATGGTCAAACCGATCGGTATTATATAGTTCACCCAGAACCATGCTTCGAGAATTGAAAAGGCGGCGAAGGCACCTAGCCTTCATCTACCCGGGTTTTGATTGTGTGTCATTTGGGACATGTCATCGTTGTGGTCCTCCTTAAACAAATGGTCGTCCCACGTATTTCGGAGCCTTTGTTCAACCCCCACATGTTCCAGGTCATTCCAGATTTCCAATTGACTTTCGCCCCCTGGAAAACATGAGCATATATGTCCGGTGATAGATTCTCTTTAAAACAACGCGAAAATAACACAAACTCGGAAGCAACTGGAAGAATATTGAAACCGGTCCCAAGGGAAATAGGTATGTGTCAGAAATAAGCCAGGGTATGCATTCGCAGGGTTTCATTTAGGGCACCTGTTTTTTGACCCACCCAAGTGGTCTTCCAGGATTATTTTTTGCATGTTTGTTGGGAGGGTAGCTGGAGGAATTTTCCTTCAGGGAAAGACTCACTGCCAAGGCTCGCCACTGCTTGGGCAATGAGAACCAAGCTATTTGAGGGCCCTGTCGTGTCACGAGGGGGCGTGCGGGTTGAACAGGTACCGTTGATTTCGGATGAATCAACCTGGCAGGGGCGTGTTCCTCAAACGTGACTTGAAGGACAATCAGCCAGTTAATCTTGGTTTGGGATGAATCAACCAAGTGGATTACTAGGGGGTGAGGTCCACAAAAGTGATCAGCTCAACCCCTCTTAAATGGGAAACCCCATCGCAGCCAAGCGGTTGATTAGTCCAATCTTCGAAGGAAACCTGAGATTTGCCTTCCCATCGCCACATTTGAGATTTCGTGGACAGATTCCCCAGCAATTGTATCGGACTTCGGAACCCTACTATGGATGGTCGGGACATACATTTCACGCCACCTGAGAAAGCCTGGAATGATGCTTCCCCTGTAAATACCAACGCACAACGGTTTCCTGTGGCTTCAAAGTGGTGAAGAATTTCGTGAATCCACGGCATTTCCGACAATCATGAACGCGGACAGGGGGCTTCTCTAAAAAGTAACGTAGTCTTCAAATATCCCTGTTGACTTCTATGTCTATCACACTAATTATGATTGTGAGAGAGAGGGTGAACCGTTTGCTGTGGCCACGACCCTCGATTCAGCAACGCCAAGAACTCCACAACCTCGCCTTTCGCGTGGGTTGGGCTTGTCTGTCCCAAGCTGACCCTAGCTAAAGCGAAAACCTGAAATCTGAAGCTCTCCACCGTCTCCACCCTACTCCTAGACTGTCCTAAACCCCAACTCTATCTCAGTGATTCCAATCATATGGTAAACCATGCGAACCACCCCTTAAAATCAAAGGGAAAATAGCTGGTTGTCTACTATACTCGTAACCTGCTCGTAACTGGGATCATTTATGGTAAGCCAGGCCCTTACACCACCTCAACCCTGAATTAACCCGAAACCCATCCCGGCCTTCGAGTCGGGCTTGTCCTTGCCATTTTCGAGTGACTCGACGTTCAGCAAACATCCCGACGAAAGCCGCGACTTCGATGCTTGTAATACTAGGTCACTGAAGGTTAGAATAAGGGTACCAACTTCTTCCTTTAGTCTATTTTAGCGGGGGAGCCCTCCCCCAACAAAGGGTATCAGGGCACATTCAGGGCACTACTGGGAGACCTAGAAAAACAACTCCACCTTCAAGCAACGCAGTGCCGACAATTTCGGACGACTGGCCTTCGCAAAGGAAGGGGTTTCTGTGCACGTCCATGCTTCGGGGAGAGAAAAGCAACTGTTATGTACATATCCGGCCATATGGAGAGAAGACAAGAAATTGGTCATGGCGTATCAGCCATCCAAGGTGCAGTCGAAACAAATCAAGAGAACCTGGACATAGAAAGTTCGGCCTTGAAATCTTCGATCGTGGGTCGATTGGAACATTGGGGAACGTGCACTGAGGGGTACACGGTAAGAATAAGTGTTGAGTTTGGCTTGGTGACCTTAATTGAAATGAATCCCCACCGCACTACCTGCAGGGAAAATAGGGGCACTACTATATTACCACTACATCAAGGGCATCAGTGTATACCCCATTTTCCCTTTGAGGAAGTGGTTTGAGGGTAGTGGAAACCATCTTAGAGTTGAGCGAAGTCACCGGCTGCATTTGTTTGTGCATGGGGGCAGGGGATCTGCATCAAATGTATTTGTGCGGGGTAGGCTGTCCCAAAGCTCAAAAAGATAGACGATGGGAAGCCTCTCGGAAAATCATGAAGACTGCATACTGCATGAACAACTAGGTCCTCCAGTAACTGAAGGTTAGAATAAGGATACCCTTTTTTTCTGTAGTCTATTTTAGTAGGGGAACAATCCCCCAAAAATGGGTACAGTAAAAGGGCACTACTGGGGGACCTAGACAAAACTGCCACTTTCTCAACAGCAATAACTTGACAAATCGGCCCTTCCAAAGGGTTGAGTACCTTGCTTTCATCAGGCGCAGCATCTCAGCACTGGTTTCAATCTTCTGGGGGCGCCAGCAGCCGAAGCATGCACTAGCTGAATGATATTTGAGATCAACAAAATCATGGATCGTTTCACCAGGCGAGCAATCGCACACTTCTTCATTTCAGTTGGCTCATTCGAACAAAACAATCTCGCCGGGGGTTTGGGCTGCTCTTGTCCGAGCAAAAGCTCTAACCTTTTCAACCAGGAGTTGCCTGCTCCCAAATAACAAGATAAACATCCCGAACACCAAGATCATCGCATCCCAAATACCACCAACACGCCAGGTCCTCCAGTGGAAAGGTCAAAATAAGGTCACCCTTTTTTCTTTAGTCTAATTTAGGGGAACCCTCCCAACCAAAAAAGAAACGGCAAAAAGGCACCTACTGGGGGACCTAGGGGCCACTGCCGTCCTCAGCCTCGTCAGCCCAACACCGCGCCCGCTCCTGGAGCTGGCGATGGATGGACAAAATCAACTTTCGACTACCCCAAGATAGGCTTAAAACCACGGTTTCTCCGCATATCGGGGGAATGAACCACGCCCGGGTTTAAGACTACCTGGAGTCTCCATGACCCCTTACAAAATGGGCTCATTATTTTATAAATCATGGGGTCATGGACCTATTTTTATTTCGGGTCATGGAGACTCCAGGTAACTGGTGCAGGACTTCGTCCAGTTCTCCTCTACGACTCTACGATGGAGCCCAAACAGGGGGCCCCGAAAGGGAGACTCCTCCATGGATAGTTTTGGGGTTATGTGGGAGTACCAATTCTTGGTTGACGTTGGAAGGGGAGCAAAAATGTAAAATAGTGTAATTTTTAGCAGTTAAGTGGGGATTTCCCACTAAACCACAATAAGCAAAAATGTAACATGTCTCCCAACAACAACCATGAATTCTTTGTGGGACCTCAGTGACATGCAAGCAAGACGGTCTTTAAAGGTGGTCCACAGGAACTCTTCGGAAACGCGACGGGCGCTCAACATGGCCGAGGGTGGAGTCAAAATGATCTCTTGAGATCCCGGTGACATTTCACCGGGGTTGCTAGGCGGATTTTGGCCGTTCCGCAAAGTCCATGGACCCCCAAGGAGGGATGTGGGGAAAGGGGGCTATCCCTTATAACCCCTTGAGGGCTTATTCTGAGCCCTGAGCTATAGCCCCGTGTCCAAGTGCCGTTGCCTTGGTTTGATCGGCATGTGAGGTGCAGCGCAAGTCCTTGCCCGTGAGTGCTGTTCGCTGCCGAAATTCGAGAGTTCGACAAAAAACACCAAGGGTAGCCCAGCATTTTGTTGGGACATGCTTGATGGGCACCCGTGGAGCTTCCCATTCAAGTCCCAAGCCCTGAGACTGGTCTTTGATTCCTGAACTCCATCCTCACATTCTAGCCCCTGTCCGCAGAACATGGACCATGTTGTTTCGCAGTGAAGTAGGGCTAAGGATCTAACTTGGTCTAACACGTGCGCGCAACACCTTTTTACGTGAGGCAATTTCCGGTCAAGGCTGTCCGAATTTGTCCGGGCGTAGGGCGTTTTTTCCGCCGCTTCGCCCGGCTCCGCAGCGGTTTTTCCCCCGTCTCAGAGCTCGCCCTTCTTTTCGGCGCGCGGGAGCCGCTGGGAGGATCGCTGCACCAAGGACGTGCCGGAGAAGTCCCAGGAGCCTCCCCTCGCCTCCATGGGGATGTGCCCGTCGCCATTGCCCCCGATCTTGGGGGCGGAGTCGCTGAAGTGATCCACGTAGGGGAACGGCTGCCTTTCGGACAATAAGGCAAAGCGAGATGAAAGGAGCCTCCGAAGCGGAACCGAGATTCAACATAAGAACCGACTATCTAGGTCCTCCAGTAGAGAGGTTAGAGTAAGGGCAACCTTTTTTTGTGTGTAGTCTATTTTAGTAGGGGAACCCTGCCCCAAGAAAAAGGGTAAAACGGCAATATTGGGGGACCTAGGATTGGACCAACAGGACATGCACGTAAGCAACTCCGGAACTCAGCCTCATTGGAATGTGTTGAGCTATACTAGCTACTATTACCAACGAGGCAAGCACATGTGTGTGTCCAAGTAGTGGCTTCAAGAGGACATCAAACTTAGCCAACGAAAAGCCATGGAGCAAAATCCAACGTAAACACAAACACCTAGACGGCAACACCTAAGCCAACTCAGCAATACTAAAAACGAACACCAACACTTCAAAGCAACAAAGACATGCTTTGGTGTTGGTTCCGTTGACAAGAACCAACCTTAATCATTTGTGCTGCCGAAATTGACCCTTCGCAGACTAATCGTGGGTTGCAGAATGGCTGCTGCAATAGAAAATGTGCTTTACAAAAAAGTAGTATGTCGCAGCAGTGGGGGGACTCGTTGGCTCATGTGGGAAGACCGTTGGAATGGTTGTCTGGGCGTAGATTGCAACGGACACATGAATGACACTTCACGCACACAAGCAAGCCACCGCCAAACATCAACCTAATCTTGTTGGGAATCAGAACGCCAATGTTAAGGTCACATACTGAACAAACCAGATAAACCCGAACCAATATTCACCGTGTCCCCAACTGACATGGGAATCTGGTGAGTAAGCCTCTGTTTCCTTAGGACCTAATGTATACATTGTCCTCCTCGTAATTTCCGTGGACCGCGACTATAGTTCGGTGCTCATGATGCGTAACTCTAATTCCGGACCCTTTGCTCAACTCGCGATTTACGGCCACGCCTGTGCTGGGTACCAGATTCGTTTTAGCCCAAAGGTTTTCCTCGTGAACATAGAGCATTGCTCGATGACAGCATTGACATTGCATTCACCTCTGCATATGGCTGCGGGTCCAAAATGGGTACCCAAAATAGAACCCTGGCAAATTGCACCAAGGAGTAAAACCTGTGGTCCAATTCCTGGTGATTTTTTTATTTTGACCCACACCCATGTTTTGTGTGGCTACACAAGCTTCCCCTCCAACAGTTCTACGATTTGAGGGGGGTTCAGTTCTGAAGTGACTTGCACCGGCAATTGACCGAAGAGACTTCAGCCTTCAACTTTCTTTGTGAGCAATTTTTGATTCTGTTGCAGTCACCCCACCAAACATGAGCAAAGCCCAAAGATTAAAACCTTTACAACACAAAAACAACGAATAGCATCGAACTGAGCTGTTCCCGGATCCCCGGAAGCTAAAAGTTGAACACTTTTGGTTGAGTGGAAACCACCACTCAACCATTACAAAAACAAACATCTTGGAACCTAAGGAACCGGATGGCTGGGGTGGTTTAGTGGAAATCACCACACCAACTAAAACATATATTGATGTTTTTTGCTCAACCTTCACTCGGTTGCTTTCTGCTGCCCAGCTAAAAGTGACTAACTTTTAGTGGTTTAATACGAAAAACCCAAGTTCGCTGGCAAAAAGTTCTCAAGTCCAAACATCACATCGCATTTCCAAAGTGAAGCTACCCCTAACCTGCCCAACCTCCAAACCTTTATTTTACTAGGGGAACCCCTCCTCCCCCACAAAAGGGTAAAAGGGCACTGGGGGACCTAGTCAACCTTCAGCCCAGGCTCTCTGGGATCGGCTTCCCCAAGAAGGGGGCCAAGGTGTCCCAGCCCTCCGCGAGATCGAACGTGAGGAGCCGATCTGCGGGAATGGTCTTCCTGAGACGTAGGCTTCGGCTTGGTCCATCCCTGTACTGGTGGACGAAGACTTATAAACCGCTTTGAAACCAAGGGAAACCATGGTTTGTTGGTGTTTGCAGAGAATGATCATTCCAGGGTTTCTTAGGTGCAGGATTTCGTCCATCCACAGCAGGGTTCAACCCCCATTAAAAGAAATTTGGATAATATAATAATGTTGGATGATGACAATTTGGTTGATCCCTTCATTCAGTTTTTTCGGCATTTCTCTAGGAAGCTTCAGGAATCCATCTTTCCAGGGATCCTTCCTTTCAGGAAACCAAAAACCCAAGTTGCCCCCCACAAAAAAAGGCTTGATGACATTTCTTAGGTAACAATGGTGGTTATATGAACCCCATTGTTTTGATTATAGTAGCATTTGCGGATTCTCACTTGCCCAAAGGACCTGGAAAAAAAAAATAACCTTGTGGAACCATGACTAAAATTGGACCAACATGGGAAAGCCAAAAGGTCAAATTTACAGAGGCCAATTGGGGGAGCTTCCATGTTTTAGTCTGAGACGGAGTGTAACCTCTTCTTGGTTGGGTTGAACTGGGCGTGTCCATTTTTTCAAAGCGCACCCAAAACGGCGCAGCGGTTTTCCTCTTGGTTTCCCTTGTAGAAACCGCCGCAAACGGGACTCTTTGTTCAGTTACCGGGCAGAGGCTTGGCACCGCTGGGTGGGGGTGGCGGGCTCGGATCCCCCCTGGTTCGCCTGGGCCGGTGCTGCGTGGGGGTGCTGTGTGGGGTTTGGGCTTTTTGGGTGAGGGCTGCAGCTTTTCTCTGGGTTCTTTTGGACTTTTCTCGCGGCTCTGCGCGTTTTCTCGCGGTTCTGCGCGCTTGGGTTCGGGCTTCCTTTTCTGCGCCGTGTGCGCTTTGCGTCGGGGTCCTTGCTTTCCTCGCTGTTGCGCGGGCTGCGCAGCCCGTCCCTGGCGCTTAGGTTTGGGCTTGGGGGGCTGGCATGGTGTGCGCCGCGTGCCTTTCTTCGGATCGCGCTCTTAGGCGCGGGCGCGGTCGGTGAGGTGTGTGTTTTTGCACGCGGGCTGCAGGTTTTCTTTCGGTTCTCTTTCGTGGCGGGCGAGGTGTTTCTGGGGTTCTACGTGCAAGCCGTGGCTTGAGTTCCGCCTTCCTTTGTCAGTTTTCAATTGGCTTTCTAAGGGTGCTCTGGTGCTCTGTCGTTTGTGTGGGGTTTGGGCTCCAAGCTTGCGTTCGTGTTGGTTCTGGGCTCCAAGCTTTCGGGTTGGTTCTGGACGCTTGGATGTTCGCGAGAAGCATGGCCCGTTGACACTGGCTTTGAGCTTCTCTTGGAGGTGCTGGACAAAGAAATGACAGATTATGAGAATTGCTTGCGTTGGACACCGTGCCGTCCCCCTGTGCTCTTGGTGTTCACATATTTGAGCCAGCCTGTCGGACCAATAGGGCTCCTACCTCCAGCCTCCCTCTCGAGGCGGGCGCGCTACCAGTGAAGCATAGCCCGTTGAGCTTCAAAGACATGACAGATTGTGAACCATGTCAAAAACCGAAATGGCTTGCTTTTGACACCGTGCCGGTTGTCCCCTCTGTTGTTGGTGCTCATACATTTGCGTCCATGCGGAAGGGATTCTTACCTCTGCTCAAACTTTGAGCTCACTCATTCGGTCGCTTCGTCGCAGTCTGCGTTGCGTTGCTGTCTGAGGCATGGCCTGTTCCCGCGCGCTCCGTCTGGACGCTCTTCGCACTCAAGCCGCCTCTTCACAAGCGACGTTTCTCATGCATCTGCCGCAAGCATTCGTTGGCTCCACAAGTCTGGCAACCTTCCGCATGTTTTTAACTCGCTGCGCTTGGCTCGACAAGCCGCACCCCGCACCAGAAGTCGGCGGAATGATCCGGAGGCTCTAAAGTCTAGCTAAACAAATGGGAAACCAGTTTTGACAAGAGTCCTTACAACCCACGTGGGAAAACTAGGGCTGGTCCCCCAAGCCTAAAACAACTGCAGCTGGATAACTTGCCCAGGCAGAAACCCCAATCTAGGCAAATCCAATGGGCCCTTTTTGAACGGACCCGTAATCTGTCCCACTTGCGTACCCCTTACATACCCCTTATAACCACACGATGGGCACAGCTCAGACTCACAGTATTGATTCCACATTCTTTTTTAGCTGCAGGGGGGGCACATACCAGACGAATTCAAGCACGCCTACTTCATCCTGGCACTGGTACTTTGGAGAGTCTGCAGCGCTTCCCTTCAAAGCCGCCCAAATGAGGCGCCTATTTGGCTATGTCGCAACATAGCCGAACCCATTTGTGAATATGGCGAACCAAACCAATTTTTAACATGGCTGCTTTCAAACCTTCCTTTCATTTCTTAACATGTCGCAACATAGCCAACCTTTCCTTTCAAACCAACCCAAAATGGGTATCTGCGGGTACCCCCACCCCTCCACCCCAAAAGAGACACGGCCATGTGTTGTCCTCGCCAACCCTAGTGGCATGGTGAATCCCCCATGCTCCCAAATGAACCATCGACTACTGTCAATGTTGGACTGAACGCTCAAATGGTTGCTACTGTTTTCGGTGGAACGTGCGAAAAGGGTTGATGCAAAGATATCAACTCCTGCTGGTTCTCAGGGAAAGAAATCGAATCACTGAACCATCCGTGGCTTCCTTTGAATGTATGGAACCAGTTGAATTGCCGTTGTGTTTCTGAGAAGCAAACAAATTGTTGCAACGGTTCGCCTTAAAGTTAGATGGAACCAAAATGCTAGTTTTCCTGTTGGTTCCCGTAAAACTCACCAAAAGGGGCGTTCCCCATGGGCTCGCTGAAAAAAAAAAACACCACGCACACACACACACACACACACACACACACACAGACACACACACGCACGCACGCACGCACGCACGCACGCACGCACGCACGCACGCACGCACGCACGCACGCACG